ACTAACTTGTTTGGTTTAAATTACAGTACTGTTGGTTTTCCCTGTTTGATATAAATGTAAATTTATATAATTCCTGACTGAAATTTGAACCATGTCACCTTGGTCTTAATTAGCTTTAATCTTCTGACAAATTATAGACTAAGCGATAATGAACTAGTCCCTTTAATATTTATGTAATTTTCTCTTCTCAACAGTTTGTCATTAATGGCTCCCTTTTATTCTCTTCGGTTGAACCATGTGATCGAACTCGTTAGTCTTACTGAACCCTCGGAGCTGAATTCCTTTTGATGACTTTTTTATGAAAGATTGAACCATTGTGTTCTGTGTTCAGACTGAGGAGTTGATAATGGAGGGAGGTGAGAAAGTGGCTCCAGCACCAGAGCAAGAGTTCGGTCACAGCGAATCACACGGCTGTTGCTCCTCTGCTCTGCCAGCTTTATCTCCAGCTTAAACTGAATTTTTCAGCTGTCTCTGAGCCCAGGAGTTACTTTGTGCTCGACCCGTTCTATTAACACAGCGTGTCGCCTCCCATGCTAATGACAGCAGGTGAAATGAGCCAATTCTGCTTTGGGTGCCAGAGACACTGATTCGTGGAATGGAATTCATGCTGGCTGACATCATCACACAAGTCTTTCTGTCTGGTTTTAAAAGGAGGCCCAATGTGTGCAGCATCGACAAAACTGATGTTTGAATCGTTGCATCCTGCAGTTCACAAAGGAATTTAAGGAAAACAGAAAATCATTCTCTTTATAAAGCCGCTCTGGATGCTTTGCATGTAGTAAATTATCTTTTGACTGAACGTCAAAAATTGATTAGGCATTCAGTTTGTTCCATTGTTGGACAAACAAAAGCAACATTTCTGCAACAAAGCTTCTCTCCAAATACACTCAGCAGGGATCAACATTTTCTTCAATACATGTGCTAATGTAATTAAATGTTGGCTTTAAAAAGAAACGCAGCACGACTGTGCATCAAGATGGAAAGTCAAAGTAAATGACCAACAGTAATGTTTGTTGGATTATAGTCTGACGAGGAGCATTGTTTAAGGAGGTGAAGAGTTTTTTTCCTTTGTCAGATATTAGCAGGGAAGCTCACTGGCACACAGCTGTTCATAATAACCATTATTAGTACCAACCAAATCACATGTGCACTGATTCTACAGTCACAGCTTCCAGTTCGTCCATTCACTTCCTTGTGATTCTTAAAATAGCAGCTCGAGGGAGACTTCAGCACGTGAAGCAGCTGTTGTCATACACAAGGAGACATGTACCACTTCTTTCTGCAGGAATATCAAAAAGTCAGCAGCCTCCTTTGGACAACTGTCGTAAAGTCAACTCATTCAAACAAAACCTATCGGAAAAATGAGCTCTTGAACAAACATGGATGTGATCAGAACCACCTAAAATAACAGACACCATCTTTGAAATAAATTCATTTAATATGTAAGTTGTTAGTTTGGTCTATGCCCCACTCACCAACATGGTGAAGTCAGGGTTTATGTCCACCAGAGGACAATCAAGATGATTTGGGGACACTGTCGTATGTCTATATGAAGACCCTGCTTTTTTAAAGCAGCAGCATGTGAACGTTTTCATTTTTTCAGTGAAATTATGTCAACATTGATGGATTTACACCGTAATGTCTCCCAATATTCATGGTTCCCTGAGTGTGAACCCCAATAACTCTGAGGAGCCCCTGAGTCTTCATGTAGTGACACCATGAAGTTGACATTTTCCTAATTTCTCGAAACATTTTAAAACCATGGATTACCATGAATTTCAGACGTTCTTGCAGAGGATGAATTGTTAAAATGTTTCCTCCCTAAAATGTATTTTTATTCAATACCAGTAACTGATTTTGTCCACTGTTACGCCTCCCGGAGCTGAGGGCCAAGATGTAGACTCTGTAGTTAAACCTCTCACTATACTTTTCTGCATCAATATGGAAATTATGAGTGTGTGGCTCTTTTATAGAAGCAGACTGGAAGAAATTACTTCCAGCATTTCCTGCCAGATCTTATTGCACAGCAGACAGTATGTCAGAGGTTAGCATTGAAGCCTTGCAGCAAAATAGACACAAGTTGTACTTCTATCCCATATTTTTGAGGACTTATTTTACCATTCACATTGATATATAAGTCTGGTGCTGCACACATTTGATCTGCTAACATAGAACGTTTCAGTGTTGTCCACACCGCACATTAAGGCCCAGTCACAACTTTGGACATTAGAATAAATTCATTCATATTTGTATCGAGACCTTTTTGTTCTCAACCCTTTTCATAGAAATGTTTTGGATCCATCACTTGGTAGAATTGCCGCTTCTGTCAGGGAATGTAATCAATGAGAGCACCTGAAACCTTCTACTCTCCCACCTCTCTGCTTAATAATTCAACATCCAGGGAGCGCATGACCTCCAGCACAGCAGCAGGTGGTATTCTGCTTGGGGGTTGCACTGTGCACAAATCGCTTGCTTTTCTCTTTTGTGCTATTTCTGTCAGTCCTTTGCTACACGGCTTTGGCAAATTTGAAAAAATAAATGAATTTATACCCTCAACCCATTAATATTGAGAAA